CCCCCCGTTGCATCAACGCAGTGGTGAGATGAATGAGGAAGCTGCCGTGTTTCTGTTGGTCTAAACATAGCAGAATGTTTTCTACACTTGATTTGATACACAGAATTTGAACCCTGGTCGGTTCTTACAATTAAAATTGTGCACAAACTGAAGCTTTGAGGTCCAGTGTGTAACTTTTAGGAGGATCTATCGGCAGAAATTGAATATGAGGCTATATTTATCGGTAGTTACCTTAGAATGAACCTGCTTTGTCTACAGATGGCGTAGGTCACCTTTCATGGAGTCCACCAACTGCCCAGAACAGACCAAACACTGGCTCAAGATAAGAGTCTTTCGAGTTTATTGTGAGTTTTGCACCCACGGTAGCCTACGGGATCATCAAATACAAGCGAGCAGTATCCAGTTAGTTTCAATATGCAACTGCAAATCCTAAACACTGATCCATTCAGCATAAAAGGCAGAGTTCACCATTTTTGAGTTACAAATAAAAAAAATAAGTCCAGTGGTCGTTCAGACCTAAAACAGACCTAAAGATGTCGTTTCAGGTATTGGTGAGACGATGAAATACAATCCAGGATATTTGGAGCTGGGAAATATATATCCAGGGGGTTTGAAGCTTAATCAGATGCAAAGACACTGCACAGTGATTTAGATTACCATGAGGACAAAAAGAAAAATGATTACGACAGCGTTCATGTTACAAAGTAATCGGCCAAGCATATACGCCCCACGTTGGCACCACCGCAGCATGACTTATGGGGGTTCATTCAAAGGGGGCTGAATTTTTTTTCAAGCAGGGCCAAAGTTGGTCTGGGGCCCTGGCTGAACATTTAAATGACTCACTGTACAGTATTTCTGTTTTAGCCTCATCAAACTATAGAACTGCACCTCACTTCTACATACTTGATCCACTGTCTGCGTGAGAGTCATTCTATACAGAAAACATTGGAAAAAAATGCATATTACTTTTCTACTGGTAGTTACAGTTGTAGTGACACTGATAAAAATGATTACTGGCAGGTTAGATTTTTTTTCTTTAATAGCTCTTGGCAGGTAAGCCAAAAGTTCACTTCAGTCACTGCTCTTGAGAAAAACTGAACCGTTACATTGGGAAAACCATCAGCTAGACAGGTAAATTAAACTCTCCAGTGTTTCCATCATCGTGTACTTGTATGGGTGCAAAAGCCTTTGAAACAGAATGAGACACTGCAGCTCTCCAGTGGAACCCATACTAATGAAATATTTTTAGGTGGAAGCTACTCAAATTAAAATCCACCTTTAAACACCTGAAGGAAGTCTGGTTCCATTTCGTTGGACTGTATGGATGGAAAACTTGTGTAACATAACTCGACTTACTGCCAGCAGCTAGAGCTTCTTTTTACAGCTTCAGTTTACAACAACCTGCTCGGAGCAATCTATCGCAGAGGAGGCATGCTTACAGAGTTTGCCATTGACAACACTCACAGTAGACAACAATGCAATGCAACGACATGATGTGTTTAGAGGACGCAACAAACTTTTTCTAGACTGGAAAAGAAATCCTGCTAAAACTCTCTCTACAGACATCTGTGCACCAGCAGCTGAGCATCAACAAGTTATGGCACACACTCAGAGTGGGGAGCTGGGGTGTCGGGAGGCATTCTGGGAAATGTAGTAAGACTGAAGATGACGAGAGAGGCTGAGGGAGGGACAGTGGATACAACAAAAAAGGCGAATGACAACCCGCTTATTCACAAAATAACAGAATGCGTTGGACATCCCAGGCTGGTGATTTACAACAGCGTAGGAGCAGCCGAGGATGGAATTTTCCTCTGAGGCAGGGCGTTCCACTCTTTTACCAAACAGCAAGGGAAACTCCAGTCTTCACACTTGCTCACACACACACACACACACACACAAACACACATACAAACGCTTGCATTCCTGCACAGATACACAACAGAATACGAGCCGACAGAACCGCACACGTTTGTGTGCATTTTCGCACACATGCACTTGTTCTCGCTTTCTCCCCTTCTTCGACTTTTAAAGCGGTTTCCTGCGCACGTTACCTCTCATGGTACATTCAGAGCATGAACACCCAGAGTCAGCAAGTCTGGACGCAGCTGCTGAATATTCAGCCCTGCGCTCCCTCTTGCTCTCCCTTTCTCTCGCCATCTCTGTCTTCTCCCACCTTAAAACTCCTACCCCCCCCCCCCCCCCCCCCC